ATATTTTAATGGATTCCGGCGATCCGGAGAAAATGGAAAAATGCGGACAAGATTTTACCGCATCGGACCTTTTGGAACCAAAAATGGAAATGATGGAACAAGAAGCCAGCGACGAGGAACGGACTGCTTACCAACAGATTTATTACAACGAGAACAATGCGCTCGCCAACCCGTTTGCAACACTGCCAGGTTAATTGACTTCTATCGCTATTTTGCTAACATTTTGTTATGGCAAGTTGTAATATTGCGTGTTGCTGCAGGTAACGTGGATCTCATGGCCGGATTGAGCACAGACCTCCGGGAAGATAAAGCGGAAGGTAAATATTTTCTCTTTTCTCACTGTCACGTCATTCTCACACGCACACGTCTACTCGGACAGCCGCGCCCCCGGCGAACCTTTCGATGTCACAGTCAACGTATTCGTTTAGAATATTTAGAAGAGAGCGCGCGCGATATTGTTCAACTGAGGTGGCTAGGCGCGCGGGTGTCGGGTGCGGACGCGCGGCCGCACACCCTCAAGCCCGCAACCTCCTCCAATGCTAACAGGTCTACCCCACAAATATGTATCTCTTATTAACACAAACACTAAACGATAATAATGTCATCTGCGTTATCCTAAAAAAATATTTAACAGCAATTATTCATTTAATAACCCAATGAAACGGCTTTATTTACTTCTGCGGTTTTATTAGATATCCGTGCAGAACCTAGCCTACGTGCATCGTAAAGTTAAAGTTAAAAATAATGTTAAATCTACAAAATGTCCCTCGATTCTACCAACTTTTCATGAAAATCTATCTTGAGGTGTAGAAGCGCATAGGCAGTACCTTACATACATTGATTTTTTTGAGTGCTGCAAAGAAGCGATATTGTTTACAATCTGCGTTAAGTTTGTGAAGCAGTAGATTCGTTTATTTTGTCTAATGTTGAAGTACCGCCATACTTTTGAAGATAAAATATTCATACGTAAAAGTTTACAAAATACTATAGGTCTTTAGGGCAACAATTAAGCTTGAAAACGATGTAGGTATGGAACGCGGCGACGACAATACACAGCTCGGGAATGTGTTAAGTATCAACTTAATAATAAATCTTCGTGACCATTTTTATTAAATAGGACATCAATGAGTGAATCTTTAATTTATGGATACTAGTACCCAGTTTTTGGTTAAGAAACATTGTACCTATTAGCATTGGAAGGTGTATGAAGCGAGGTGCGAGGAGTGG